ATCTATTTTAAATAATAATTTGGTGTTTAATTTTACCTGCCATTTGTTTTATGGAATGAAGAGAATCATATATCTGTACTTTTTGTTTGTTTGTTTGTTTGTTTCTGCGTTTATCTCACTATTCTGATTTTTTTTTTGTTTTGCAATTTTGAGAATATAAACTCAGAATTGTGAGATAAAGTCATAATTGTGAGATATAAACGCAGAATTGCAAGAAAAAAGTCAGAATTCTGAGTTTACATCTTTCAGTTCAACTTTTTTAATTGCATAATTGTTATTGTGACATCTTTCTATATATTTTTTTTTATTTTATATCTTGCAATTCTGACTGTTTAAAAAAAAAAAAAATCTAAATTGTGAGAAGTCAGAATGACCTTTTCCATTAGTTTTAGAGTGAAAAAGATGTTTTGAAACACTATTCTGATTTTTTTTTTGTTTTGCAATTTTGAGAATATAAACTCAGAATTGTGAGATAAAGTCATAATTGTGAGATATAAACGTAGAATTGCAAGAAAAAAGTCAGAATTCTGAGTTTACATCTTGCAGTTCAACTTTTTTAATTGCATAATTGTTATTGTGACATCTTTCTATATATATATTTTTATTTTATATCTTGCAATTCTGACTGTTTAAAAAAAAACAAATAATCTAAATTGTGAGAAGTCAGAATGACCTTTTCCATTCGTTTTAGAGTGAAAAAGATGTTTTGAAAAGGTTAAGCAGGTGGGTTTTGTGCATCAGCATCATTTAGCCTGTTTCCAGTCATTATTGCAATTGAAATTAATGGGAGTTTGAGTTAATTATATATATATTTTTTAATCAGAACTGCTCACTGAAGCTCCAGTTGACCTGTAGACATGAGAACCAAGACTAATTGTGCTGATGTTGAGTGTTTAAAGGAAAACCATCTGAATAAAGCAGCTGAGGATGAAGCAGTGAAACCCTCAGTGACGGCACCTGACTATCACATGACTAAACTCCCGATGATGACTGATGTCTCGCCGGTACGTCACACAGGACAGCTGTCAGGTGTTTATCGTGTCAGTTAAGTGTGGATGAACTGACAAACAGAGCGCTGAGTCACAGGTACACGCTAGAACTACAGCACTTCCTCTACGGGTGTGTGTTTGGTGGTTTTCAGGTCTCAGAACTTGGTTCTGGTTTTTGCATTTGCTCTTTGAGACAATGAAGGGGAACACGCAGGCTCAGCTG